TGGGGTTGTGGGGGTTTTGAGCTTTGGTTTGTAGTGGTTGGTTCCTGGGTTTTAAGGCTATTATTTGGGTAAAAATGAGGGGTTGTGTTTGGCCAATAAAAGGGGACAGGGCTGGGCAATATTAGGGGTGGTTTTGGACATATAGGTTTGGGTTATTTGTGGGGGAACATGGGCAGGGATTAGTGGTTTGTGGTGGGTCAGGATTTTGGCTCTTTTTGGGTGTTGTGTTGGGGTTGTGAAGTGTATTTTGTCCAGGGGATGAATGGAATAAAGGGAGGGCTTTATTTGTTTAATAAAAGGCTTAAAAGAAGGAAAATAACAACAAACAAAAGGTTTTATTTTACACACTTATTTTCTGCCAGCGCTAAAATAAGAGTAGGAAAAGCTTTATTTTGAAATGAATTAAATGGCAAGGAGTGGGATTTGGTCTCTGGAAACCTTGGGTCCGAAGTTATTCAGGCCTCTCTGGTTGAAGGACCTGGAATTCTCACTAAAACGGATCATAATGTTTGAACGTAAGTCCTTTGGTTTTTGCGAGGGTGTAGGACATGGGGTATGATAGGGCCAGGCCCGGGTATAACAAATTGACTTTAGTATTTGACAAGAAAGTGCCTGTGAATGTATACACAACATGACAGTATTATAAATTTTTAGATTTCACTCACATATTATCATCAACATTATGCAGGTATAAGAGTCTTACTGAGAGAGCTTTAAGAGCAAGGCTTGTCTATGGAAGCCCCAACATGAATCGAGTTGTAAGCTTTGAGTACATGAATCATCAATTGGTTTGGCATGAATTATCGGTAATTGTCCTTCCGATCTGGCTTTTACAAGTGGATTGCATGAACTAGTAGAATTTTAAATTTCCTCGATGGAACAGATGACTTGCTCTTAAAAGGGAAGTCCTCCGTTACAGCGATGGATAGTAATGAATTTTTATCTAATATTGCATCACAAACACATTGTGGTGGAAGTATTAGTTTGTGATGGGACTATCATTTTATCAGTATTGTCTTTTATTCTCAGGAAATGCTGTTGTTGCTTCTTCCCCTCTTAAATTCATCATCCATCAAAAACATTCTTTGCCCATTCTCAAAGGACAAATCTTCAAATTCTGCAACTGATGAAACCTTATGCCCCATCTGCCAGGCGACTCCCACACTTCCTTTTTTTGCCATTCCTTGTCACCATAGGTAAACATATTACATACATCTATACTATTCTCATGTTCGTCCATTACTAATGGAGCTAAACTGAGTCGTTAATGATGACATTTTAGCTTTGGGCAAATAATGGACTAAATCAAAATGACACATTGAACTCCCCTTGCTTCTTAATTTCTATGATTTTGGTTATCAAATGCAGCAATTCATCAAGGGTCTGACGTAAACAACCTCTCTGTTTTTACAGAGGAGGTGCGTATATCTTGGCCTCCTAGACTCCAACATAATTGGGATTTTCCTGGGTTAGTTGTTGTAAAACTATTCTCATGTCGGTGATGATTAGTTAATTTGGGAGTGGTAGAGCCCTACGTTGAGAAAAATTAAATAACCACAATTGCAAGAAATTTAAACCCTGTGCAAATAGTGGACAATTTTCACACACACACACACGCATACACACACACACACACAAACGCGTTCTCTATCTAGCTGATCGGAACTCTTTGGATGTGCTCGTCTTCCGATGGGACGGCGGTGGCCGTCCCTGCTACCAATTCATCCTTTTCTTCCAAAACCTTTGCTGATGCTGTTTAGGGTGGTGTTCCATCGCAGCCAGTGCTTGGTGCATATATAGGTAGGCCTTCAATCTCCTTTTTCCCAACTGAGGTTGTTCAACTCTCTAGAAAACTGGTCCACAGTGGTGGGCTACTTTCTTGCCAGAAGACCTTCCTTGGAAACCATTCGCAAAACCCTAATTGTTTTATGGTTCTGCGATTTCTCTGTTGGGTTGCTGGAGAAGGCTCACATAGTAATCAACTTCACTAGGGAGGATGATTATAGAAGATGCTTACACTAGCGTGTTTGAGATATTCTTGGTTCTAAGACTACCACGAAGTAGATCCCCTATTTTGATCTCAGATTTGAAAACCCTCTTGTTCCAGTTTGGGTGTGGTTAGAAGGTCTCCCTCTCCACCTTCATGACCAAAAGACTCTGTTCCCCATCATATCCAACTATCCATGCCCGGTAAGCCCCTCAAGCCTGATGTTGCAACAGCTAAAATGGGCAGATCCTCGGTGGCTAGAGTTTGTGTAGAGCTGGACATGTCCAAACTCCAAACCTCTCCACAAGAAGAATCACATTGACAGTGGTGGTGTTCCTTTGTTTCAATTTGTGAGCTATGAGGCTGTTCCTTCCTACTGCACCAACTGCCGCATCTTTGGTCACAAGACCGGAGAGTGTCACTGGAATGAGAAGCCGGAAAAGGAATCTCAGGTAGTAAAAAAAGATTTACCTAAGCTGGGCCCCATTCCTAAGGAGATTAACGAAGGCAAATTTACTAAAAAATATGTCAGTAAGGATCCACAACTATATGGTGAGGCTAATGCTACAACCATGCTAAGCCAAAATATTCACATGGAGGAACATGTAAATGTTGAGGCCTCCACCTTGTAGTGGACCCGGGAGTCACTGAGGTGCTTATGGACAAACAGGAAGACCCCAAACAAGGGGATAATGAATTAATTACTGAGGTTGTTGATGAGGGATCTCCTTTGTTAATGGGAGGAGAAGAAAGCTGCACATCAGCACATTTAAAGACCACCTTGGGAGAACCTTAAATAAACAACAATATATCCAAGGGCTAGCATGTAATCATTTCCAAAAACTATATTCTAAAGTTGACAACGATGACCCCAGTGATATCCTGCATTACATTCCCCATACCATCTCTGATGAGGACAACATGATGACTTCCCCACCCTCCAAAGATGAAGTCAAAGCAGCCGTTTGGATCCTTAATCCTACTAGTGCTAGTGGCCCAGATGGGTACAATGGGGGATTCCACTGAGGATATTGGGAGATTATTGGAGAAGATGTTTGGGAAGCAGCCCGAGAATTCTTCTTAGGACACCTCTGGCTTATGGAAGCACCCTATATCTCTCTGATACCTGAGAAAGATGCTGCAACTACCTTTGGAGACTATAGACCTGTAAGCCTCTCCACCTTCATGAGCAAGGTCAAGACTAGGATCCTGGCAACAAGGCGTGGTAGCTTACTGCCTAAACTGATTAGCCCTAACCAAGCTGGCTTTCAAAAAGGAAAATGAGCTGGTGGTCAAATTCTACTTACCAGTGAGATGTTGCACAATCTGGTTGTAACTGCTGAGGGGGGAAATGCCATTATTTAACTTGATATGGAAAAAGATTTTGACATAGTTTCTTGGTTATCTTAGAGCAGTGCTATCCAAGTTTGAATTCTGCAGTAAAACAGTCAATTTACTTATGGCTAACCTTGAAACTACTCATATTTCAATGTGTGTCAATGGTCAACCCTCTGGTCTCTTCAAGATGGGAAGAGGAGTAAAACAAGGGGATCCCCTCTCCCCACTACTCTTCATTATCAGTGCAGAAGGGATCTCCATATTCATCAATGCTAAGACAGAAGAAGGCTTCCTGAAAAGTTACAAGCTGGGGAGATTGTGCCCTACTACTCACCTCACCTTTGCAAATATAATCATTTTTACCAGTGGTAAGCTGAGGAATCTGATCATATTGAAAGGTGTCTTGGGATCCTACCCCAAAGCTAGTGGTCAGAACATCAAAGTCAGTAAAAGTAAATTCTTTTGCAGCAAAAATATTAACCGGAACAAGCTGGATAAGATGGCAGACATCTTGGGAATGCAACACTACTTATCACGGTTTAAATACCTTGGAGACACTATCACTAAAGATTTAAGAGAACAGACTGTGATAAATACTTTGATAAATACTTTAATGCTTGGTACAACAAAACACCGAATCCAAGTCCAAGGGGAGACTTGTCCTCATTAAACATGTTCTTTCCTAGAGTTCTTTGCATAATAATAAATAGAGAAGTTCTATTATTTTAAAACTGGCCCCTTAGGGCAAAGTCTGATAAATTTTAAAAAAGAAAAATAGTCCTCGGTAATACTCAATAATAAAGAAAGAAGATAGGCTGATTGAAACCTACTAGAATTAATTCAGGATCTAAATTAAGACTAAACAGAACTCTCCCTCCCTTCTCTCAATAAGTATCTGAAAAATGAATAGAAGCCAAGAGAATCTCAATGTGATTAATGTTTTATTTTTTTAGATATCTTAGCAATAGAGAATCTGAGATATTTATAACAACTCTAACAAATTGATAAGATAAAAAATAACAAACTGATCTGATAAGATCAAACAACAAAGTGATAAGTTCTACTCCCTCCGTTCCGTTTTAAATCGACTGTTTTGACTTTGGGGCATATTTAATGAAGAGAAAAAATAGAGTTGACTTTCCGAAATTGCCATTATTTTTTAGGAGGGGTGATGATGAATGAGAAGATAAGGGGGAGAAGAGTGACTTTTTTTAGGGGTATTTTAGGTATTTTATTCTTAAAAGTTTACGATAACAAGAAACATGCAACTTATTTTGGGACAGAGAAAAAAGAAAACAGGCAATTTAAAATGGGACAGAGGGAGTAACTTACTAAGCTTTCCTAACTCCTAAGGCCTCAGGACTCTTAATAACTTGAGAGTCCTTTTATTTGATAAATATAAAACAGTAACAGCCTCAATTAACCCACACATAATAATATAATTAAGGTGGTCTTCTGCTATCAGTGATTCGGATCCTATCATTACTCCCCTCTCTGAAAGACACCTTGTCCTCATGGTGGAAATCTGGATGTTGGTGTTGTATTAAGTCGTTCAGATTCAAAGGAGATTCTTCCTCTACTCCTAACTGCAACTTAAGAGACACCATTGAATTTAATCTAATGCTTTGATCACCTTTCGAGATGCCATGTAATTTATATCGTTTCCCATCAACCCTAAAAAGCAGAAACATTTCATTCCAGTTTGCTTGAATGGTATTCAAAGAGGCTAACTATATGATTCCAAGAACCATATCAGTTCCAACTAGTGGAAATGGGTGAAAATCTTGTGTAAGAGTCAACTTGGAAGCTTAACTGAGACGGACTCGCAAATCTGATGTCTCCTATCTGTACCCCAAATGTATGAATAGAGGAAACTTGTAGCTTAAGTTGTTGCACAAGTTTTTCAGAGATGAAGTTGTGTGTGGAACCGCTATAAATTAACAAAAAAACTTCATGTCCATGTAATTTTCCACTTAATTTCATTGTGGCGGACGTTGGCGTCCCCAGAATCGCATTAAAGACACTTCCTCCTCTTTTACCTCCCCATCAATGGAAACGTGTTTAAGATTCATCAGATTACCTTCCTCATCAACTTCCATCAAGGAGAAGGTAGTGGATGAAGTGGAACAACGGTGACCCGGCCTAAAGGGATTGCCACACTGATAGCAAAGTCCCTTATCCCTGCGTTGCTGCTTCATTGACTCGTCCCTACCAAATCTCGAAACTGGCAAGGTTGGTGTTGAGCCTGAAGATCCAGAGAATGCAAGTGTCTGGGGAGATTGGGTCAAGTTTTTTACCTCTTGATTTGGGTCAATGGTAGAATCTGAACAAGCACCCCGACCCGATCCCATAGAACTTGTCTTGAAATGCAGAGGTGTATTCCGTTTCTCAAACTCAAGGGCTAGACTAGAAGCCCTGAACACAGAATTGGGTTTGTGGATTCTGACCTCCGACCTCAAATCCTCTCTCAAACCAACAATAAAGACACCCAAGAGACAATGATTAGGCCAATTTCGGACTCGAGCAACCCTCCTCGCACGCTCTTGACGATAGTCCTGTACGGAGCCTGTTTGTTTGATTAAGGCAAGGTGTTCGTGTGGGTTCAAGTATTCTGGCGGTCCATAAATCTCCTCAATGATTTTGATGAATTCCTCCTAGTACAAGAGCGTCCTTTTGGCATTGATCCAGGAGAACAAGTCGAGAGCGTCACCCTCCTGGTGCATGGCAGCTATCTCAACCATATCTTCTTCTGATGTTCCATATTAACAGAATTACTTTTCAGCCTTCAACACCCAGCCCCGTGGATCTCCGCCGCTGAATTTAGGGAACTCAACTTTGGATCTGGGAAACCGGCGGTGTCTGTGATCGTTTTCATCATCAGAATTGTCAATATACTGCTTCATCTTTGTCTTTCCAGAGTTACTTCTGGCCTGTGCTATCAGGGCATTCACTTCTGCCTTGAGGTCATCTAACACAGAAAGCTTGGCAACGATTTGTGCTAGTGTTGTTATGCGGACTAACTTCGTTTGCTGGTTGCTCGTTGGATCCACCATCCTCACTGTGGGCAGTTTTTGCACGAGTAATTGCCATAGGGATCGAGTAAAGAGTCTCTGATACCAAATGATAGAAACATACTAGAATTAATTCAGGATCTAAATTAAGACTAAATAGAGCTCTCCCTCCCTTTTCTCAATCAGTATCTCACTGATGAAAAAGGAATAGAAGCCAAGAGAATCTCAATGTGATTAGTGGTTTATTTTCTTGATATCTCAGCAATAGAGAAGCTGGGAAATTTATAACAACTCTAACAAACTGATAAGATCAAAAATAACATATTGATCTGATAAGATCAAACAACAAAGTGACAAGTTCTAACTAACTAAGCTGTCCTAACTCCTAAGGCCTCAAGACTCCTAATAACCTGAGTCCTTTTATTTAATAAATATAAAACAGTAACAAACTCAATTAACCCACACATAATAATATAATTAAGGTGGCCTTCTTCTATTAGTGATCCGGATCTTATCATAGGCTGATAGGCACCATGTGATAAGTTTTACTCCATGCGTCTCGATAAGTTTATCCACTTCTCTTTTTTGGGTTGTCCAAATGTGTGTGTCCATCTCATTTGGAAAATAACTAAAGTTGAGCTGACTATTTCACCCTTCTATATATTTATTACACCCAACCTATCTAACCCAACCCTCACTTAAAGAAGCATACTCTACCCACTTTTTCAACTTTATCCCTTTTCATTGGTTTACGTGCAAAAGGTAAACCGGATGAACTCATCGGGATGGAGGGAGTAAAAAGAAAAAAGGAAAATATTACTACTATTAAGTGACAACACAGACTCAGAGGACAAATCTCGGTCAGGACCATGTGAGAGTAGCAACTCGATAGACCCAGTCAGATCTGGGTCGGGTATGACGACTTACAGCAACTTCAAGCGATCCTAGACACCACAGCAATGCCAAAATGGTGAGGCATCCTCCATGGCATAGGCTGTGAAGTGTGAACCACCACACCGATTAGGGGAAGCTTAGATGCCACCATAACAACCAGGTTTAAGGTTCTGTGCCCTGGTTGGCCTTTCCTTGGCTTGTAAGAAATTGTGAAGTCAACTGGTAAGAGCTTCATAGTAAACTTGCTGCTCTAGAGTGGTTAGGAATTATTCCAGCAAATATTTCAAGCTGCTGTGGTCTTTGCAGATCAGAATTTTATTTCCAATAAGGTGATGCTGCTATTTTTGGAGCGCTAACACAAACGCCAAGAACTCATTGTCATATGCTACTCGTGTTGGTTAAAAGAAAATCATATTTGGTAAAGGAAATTTTTGGGTTGTGTCAGTATCCCCATGAGTTGTCTTCCTCCTGATTGTCAGACCAATGAGTGTGCCATCGTTGCCTTGGACCATGCTCATGGCCATGATCATCTGAGTTCACTCGACTTGTTAATCACTTAATCCCACGTGTGGACAATTAGCGTGAGCCTTCAGGGATGCCAAATCAGGCTTCTACAGCTTAGAAACAATTAGCACTGTGAGAAAGATTTTGAGTGAGTGGTTCTAAGTTAGTAACTTGAGTTGGATTTGATGGCGGGCACAAAGGTGTTTGGGTTGGTGGGTCAGAGGGCGACAGAGCTGTATTGCGTCATTGCGTGTATTGATTATTGCAAGGCTCTGACACCCCAAATTGGTACAAGTCTACCAAATTGGTAGAACCGTAAGGCTCTGATACATACCAAAAATTAAATGAACTTATCACATGTGCAAAAATCGTTAACACTTGGCAAATAGAGGACAATTCTCATATACTCCGTATAATTCTTGATCATTACAAAGGTGATGACTGCAGGAATTATAGAGAGCTTATCTCTGAACTGAAAAGCTATTTATAAGGAAACTTAGGCTATGTTTGGTTCATCTAATTCTAAAAGAAAGGAAAAATAAAAGGTTTTCTCTCCTTTTTCTTCCCTGACCAAGCAAAATTGTTTTCCATATCATTTTATTTTCTTTTCTCTTTCAAATTCCCTGAACCAAATATATGGTTTGAAACATGGGAAATTACCAGAACGTGGGAACCCATTACTGGACTACGAATATAATAATTACTGAGTACAATAATAGTAATAATAATGGTAATTGTAATAATACTTCTTTTGCACTTGATATACTTCACATTTCGGTGTATGATATATGTGACCGAAATGGTTTTCATTTAAATTTATTTAAATATTGATGTAAAATTTACATATTTAATACTCCCTCCGTCCTTTGAGTATTGTCCACTTGACTTTTTTAGTCAAAATTGGTAAACTTTGATCTCAAATTAAATAAAAATGATATTAGATATTGATACAAAAATAATTTATTAGATTTATTATATCAAATATTTTCGAAATATTATTTTATATAATTAATATACAAAATATATTTTATTTAATCATAGGTCAAAAGTTGAATACAATTGACTGAAAAAAGTCAAAACTGGACAAATACTCTGGGATGAATAGTATTTATTAGAACATCTATATAACAAGTGATGATAAGGGTATTTTCTTATGGAAAATATTGTTAGGGGTGGAATAAGGTGGATTTAACAAGACCCCATTATGATTTGTGTGCAGGTTTTGTTATTACTGTCTTCAAACTCGGTGTTCGGCGGCTCCATTCCGATGCACAAGGTGCGGTGTGTTGGTTGCTGGAATGCAGCGCTATGGTCTTCGTAATGCTGCTGTTCAAACAACATAAGCTTAGAAAAAAGATCAATTGGATGAAGGAGAAGTATTACAAAGAAATAGTACTCCTTCCGTCCCAATTTATTATGTCTGTTTCGGTTTACAATGTTTCACTGAAATTATTTTCAAAACATTTTATATGACAAATGGTATAGAGTTAAAAATAAAAATTACATATTAAAATACCACATAAAAAAATCTACAAAATTAATACTAACAATAGTAATTTATTTTATAAAATTGCTAACGGAAATAGAGAAAGAAAGTGAATAAAGTTTGACCGTGTGAATAGTGAACATATATTATAATTTGGGGACGGAGGTAGTAATTTTAGTGGAGAAATGCACAGGGGCCCCACTTGAGATTCACTATGTTTTTTTCTCCTTCAATTAAGGAAAAAAAATCACAATTCCATGTGGGAGAATAAAAGATACTCCAGTAAGATCTTTTTAATATATAGGGTAGTTAATTAATGAGTATATATTAGTAACATTTTTTTTGAGCGATGCATAAAATATTTCTTTCATGACTTAATTTTCTCTATTCTATAAAAGTATTTTTCATACTCCCCGTCCCCAATTTGATTACAAATTGCGGGTTACGGAGTAAAATTTCCTATTTTTTAAAATCATTTTATTTACAAATTGGTATATCAATAAGATATAAAAATTATATATTAAAAAATTACGTTAAAAGTTCTATAAAATAAGAGGTGACAAAAATATTTTATTTTATCAAATACTCAATGAAATCGCGTAAACAAACAAAAGTTATCGAGAGGAGAGAAAAAAAAATTGTAATCTATTTAGGGGCGGAGGGAGTATATGTTTATTTTTCTTTATTTTATTCTCCATTCTTTTTATTTTTTTTAAAATAAAGGAAATGGTATAAAATTAATTGTTTTAAAAAAATCAAAAAGGAAAAAATAAATAAGGAAATGAAATAATGACCAGAAAACCATAGAGGGCAGCAAAGCTATTCACTTAATATTTGAAAAATATTCTAGTCATGAGGGACATTAACGTTGCAATATTAGAATCATGAGGGACAACAATGTAAGTTTTGAAAGCATAGGGTAGGGGTGGGTCGGGAAAACTAAAAACCAAACCGAAATCGATTGGATTGCGCCAAAAAATAAATCGAACCGAAAGACCAATAATCAATTGCGAAAAATCAAACTGTACTCTTTCCAAATTGTTCCGTTTTTGGTTTTGGACTATGAAAACCGAATCGAATCGGGAAAAAAAAAATATGTACTCCCTCCGTCCCGTTTTAAATTGCCCGTTTTGACTTTTAGGCATATTTAAGGAAAATTAAAAATAGAGTTGATTTTCCGAAATTGTCAATACTTTTTAGGAGGGATGATGATGAATGAGAATATAATGTGGAGAAGATTGACTTATTTTAGAGGTAGTTTAGGTATTTTATTTTTAATAGTTTACGAAAATAACTAACAGATAACTTATTTTGGAACGGAGAAAAAAGGCAAACAATCAATTTAAAATGGGACGGAGGTAGTACATTACCACCAAGAGTTCTAAGATATACTCCCTCCGTCCAAAAAAGATTTACAACTTTCAAAAAAATTGCGTTCCACAATCTCTTATCCAATTCTATTAAAAAACCACTTTTATACTTTACTTTTTCAAACCCTACCTATCACATCATACTTTTTTCTTAATAATCTACACATTATATCCTACTTTACCCATCACATCAAGGGTATTTTTGGAAAGTCAACACAAAATTATCCCTTTCTTAATTTCAACTTTAGTCAAAACGTGTAAATCTTTTTGGGACGGAGGCAGTAGAAAAAAACATAATCATTTTTGTTATGGTAAGCCTCCATTTTTTGCAGGTTTACTAGTTTAAGTTGTTTCATTTTTGTATATTTAATTGTTTAAATTTTCTTTCTAAGTTCAATTGTTTTGGTTATGGTAAGCCTGCTTTTTGTCCAAATTTAATTTTGGATGTTAAAAATAAATTTTAAAGGTGCTGCGTATAAGACTTTAAATTGATTCAATTCATTTTTTACATATTTCATTTTGAAGATACAAGTTGACGTTTGAAAATCATGTTTAGGACTTTAATTATGTATTCACTAGAATTCTTGAACTCTTGTTTCTTAATTATAAACAATTATGAGGTTACATTGGTTTTTTTAAATGGGAACAAGTATAAACTCTATGAACTTCCTCAATTTGAGGTTGGAATTTCTAGTGTTTGGATAGATATTTCCAAGTGTTTGTAGTTTTTTAAGAAACTTTTTAAGTGTGATATTCTTTTTAAAAAAAGTTTTTTAAAACTGAATAACCGAAAACAAACCGAGGATCGAACCGCAAAAAACCAAACCGAAAAACCATCGTTTACTTTTTTTTTGAAAAACCGAACTTCCAAATTAACGATTTTAGGGAAAAGCCGAATCGTAAAAACCTAATCCAGCTCTACCATGGGGTAATGGTGACATTTATTTTCATTTTTTTCCTAGATGATAAAGGCATGCCACTTTTTCTAGAAGTCAATTTTTCTAAATGGTTTTTGGCTTACCCAACTGTAAACATGAAGTCATTGACAAAACCAGGAAGAAATAAAATTAACCCTTAAAAAAGGTAATGGTATATTTAAAGGAAAATGCTAGGGTGCCACCACATGGGTGCTACCATGGGTGCACCCATGCTTCGCACAGACAAACACAGACGATAATTGTCCTCACAGACAATTATCGTCTGTGTTTGTCTGTGCGAAGAATGGGTGCACCCATGGTAGCACCCTAGCATGGTCCATATTTAAAACTTGGGGAAATTAAGAATACAAAACGCACTCAATAAATACGTTTATTACTATATATGCAGTCCCAACCAACACCTTATGAGTTTTAGATCTAAAATTACAGCTATATGCTCATATGGCTAGAAAAAAGGGCTCTGCCGCGGATGACAAGATTATGGACGACATGGTGCTTCCCGGATCAGTAAAAAACGTAGCGAATAAATTCTTAAATTTTTTTACGATCGAAAGAACACTCGCAGAAATCCGATGAAGAGAGTGAAGAAAAAACAAGAGAGTAAAGGTAGAGAGAGAAAGTGAAACAAGTGAAATGACGTGGTAACACCCCGTGAGTAAACTTCCACGGCGGCTAGATGTGTTTATTGATGATTTCAGGCAGATACAGTCACAGAGAATTTGTCTATAACCTCTACTCAAAAAAAATAGCTACAAAGGAGAATATATATAGGTATTACAACTTAACCATTAAGTAAACTTAGCCATTAAGTAAACTTAACTATTAAGCAAACTTAACTATTAAGCAAACTTAACCATTAAGCATCAGGCTCCACAACCTAACAATTCTCCCACTTGGAGACTGATCCAATCATCTCAGAAATTGCCAACATCATCAATATCTTCACCGCACCGCAACATCTGTAGTGAACAACTACAGAAGACCAACCGAGGTCTTGCACAACCCCAGTTTCCTAACATCAACATGTCTGCTGGGTTCTTTGCACCCTAAATCTTTTCCAAGCTCATGTCACCAGCCTCCACTGCCCTGTGAGTGAAATGGTAACGTCTTCTGATATGCTTGGTCTTCGAATGATAGACTAGATTTTTCACCAATTAGATGGCGCTCTCGCTATCTGAGTAAAAGGATCTTCTCGCTCTGGTTCTTTCCCAACTCTTCCAGATAGTCTGACATCCAAATCATCTCCTTCCCATCTTCAGCTATTGCCACATATTCAGCTTCAGTAGATGAAAGAGAAACACACTTCTGAAGCCTGGACATCGAACTCACTGCTGTTCCACCTATGGTGTAAATGTACCCAGATGTACTCTTGCTCGAGTCCATATCTCCACCAAGGTCAGCATCCACAAAACCTTGTAGAATCACTTCACCTTTTCCAAAACAAAGTGAAGTACTGGATGTACATATCTCAGAAGCCACTTTACAGCTTCCCAATGCTCTTTCCCAGGGTTTGCCATGTACCTGCTAACAACTCCCACTGCATGTGCTATGTCAGGTCTAGTGCAGACCAAAGCATACATCAAACTCCCAACCGCCGAAGCATATGGAACACGTGTCTTGTGCTCTTGCTCCTCAGCCGTCTTAGGTGACTTCTCCTTTGACAATTTCATGTGATTTTCCAACGGAGTAGTCCTGGGTTTAGCATCATTAACCCTGAATCTAGTCAGCACCTTCTCAATGTACTGCCCCAGAGATAGAATTATAGTGCCAGCAGATCTATCCCGAGAAATCCTCATCCCCAAAATTTGCTTTGCCGCACCCAAATCCTTCATCTGAAACGCTGAAGACAACTTTGCCTTTAGACTGTTAATCTCCCTCATGCTTGATCCTGCAATCAACATATCATCCACATACAAAAGTAGAAAGACATAAGAATCAGTGTATTTCTTGAAGTAACAATAGTGATCCTTTTCAGCCTTGCAGAAGCCACTCTTGATCATGAAGGAGTCAAACTTGTTATACCATAACCTTGGTGCTTGCTTCAGTCCATACACACTCTTGTTGAGTTTGCATACCATGTGTTCCTTGCCCGGAACAGCAAATCCTTCTGGCTGTTGCATATAGATCACCTTGTCCAGATCTCCATGTAAAAGTGCTGTTTTCACATGCATCTGCTCCAAATGCAAATTCTCCGATGCAACAATACTCAACAGAATTCGAATAGAGGTTAACTTCACAGCAAGAGAAAATTTTTCAGCATAATCAATACCTTTCCTTTGTGAATAACCTTTAACCACTAATCGAGCCTTGAACCTCTTCTTCCCATCTGGGTCAGTCTTGATCCTGAACACCCACTTGCTAAACAAAGCTCTCTTCCCTACGGGTAACTCGATCAACACCCAAGTGTTTTTCTTCTCAAGGGAGCTCATCTCATCATCCATGGCTTGCTCCCACTTGACTGAATCCTCCACCTGTATGGCCTCATCAACGGACTCTGGTTCTCCTTCATCAGTTAGCAACAGATAGTGTAATGAAGGTGAATACCTATCTGGTGCCCTGATAGTCCTGGATGATTTCCTCAACACCTGCTCAGGTGTCACTTGCTCCACCTCAGGTTCTTTATCAACAATGTCTGGAGTTGGTTGAGTTTCTACTTCAACATCTATGGGGGTACTTTTCTCCAACTCAACCTCAACTCCCACTTGCTTCGTAGTCTCTGAGACCTTCTGTACTCCGTCTTTGTACATGATAGACTCATCAAATGTCACGTCACAATGTCTCAGGATCGTTCTGTTTTTGTCATCCCAAAACCTGCAACCAAACAAATCAGAACCATAGCCTATGAAGTAACATTTCACAGCCTTGGCATCAAGCTTATCTCTCTTCTCTGGATCAACATGAACATAAGCCGTGCAACCAAAAGTCCTCAAGTGTGGGTACTTGAGTTCTTTTCCGGTCCACACCTCCTCTAGAATATTGAACCCCAAAGGAACTGATGGTTCCCTATTGATCAAGTATGCAGCTGTGTTCAGAGCATCAGCCTAAAATGTTTTGCGCAGCCCACAGTGTATCCTCATACTTCTTGCACGATCATTCAATGTTCTGTTCATCCTCTCAGCAACTCCATTCTGCCTTGCCTTACCAGGAACTGTTCTCATCAATCAGATTCCCTCAGCTGCACAGAATGCCTTGAATTCTAACTTGTCATACTCTCCTCCATTATCAGACCTTAGGCATTTGATTTTTAGTCCAGTCTGATTCTCCACCTCAGCTTTCCACTTCTTGAAAGTCGCGAACACATCTGACTTATGTTTGAAGAAGTAAACCCATACCTTCCTGCTGAAATCATCAATGAAGGTGACATAAAATCTTGATCTTCCGAGTGATGAGACTGGAGATGGTCCCCAAACATCAGTATGGACCATCTCTAACCGTACTTTCTTTGGCTCTCTTGGCGTCTTCGTGAAGCTGACTCGTTTCTGTTTTCCCATAACACAACTCTCACAAAGACCCATATCAATAGACTTCAAGCCCTCCAATGCTCCTTTTGCAGCCAACATCTTCATTCCTTTAACACTGATATGTCCAAGTCTATCATGCCATAGACTTGAACTAGAAACACCATCAGCATCAGCAACCATGTTAATACATCCTGCAGTGGTGTACAAAGTTCCAAATTTTGTGCCTCGTGCTATAACCATAGCACCTTTTACAATCTTCCAAGAACCTTTCCCAAACTCTGCTGCATAGCCCGTGCTATCCAACTGACCAATAGAGATCAGATTCTTCTTGATACCAGGAATATATTTGACATCTTTCAATGTCCATTGATTCCCTGCTGGTGTTTTTATGGATACATACCCTTTCCCTTCAATAACCAAGGCCTTGTTATCAGCAAGATACACCTTTCCAAAATTTCCACATTTGAAATTTTGGAACAACTCCTTGCTTGGTGACGAATGGAAAGATGCACCAGAATCCAAAATCCAGGATTCAATAGGGCTATCCACACTAAGGATTAAAGAATCCCCAATATCCTCTGCTAAATTTACAAAATCACCGTCATCACCAGATTTCTGATTCTGCTTCTTCTTTGGCTTCTTACAGTCCGCCTTAAAGTGCCCTTTGTCTCCGCAATTCCAACAAGTTATATTGGATCTATTCGGAGACTTGCCTCGATTCTTTGATTTTGATCAGCCATGTCGATGTTGGCCCTTGAACTTGCTTCTACCCCTTCGGTCAACGCTGAGAGCACTGCCCGATGAATCACCCATTTCTCTCTTGCGAATACTTTCTCTAAGAACAACATCACGGATTTCATCGAACCTCAGTTTTTGAAACCCACGAGAACTACTAATCGCAGCAGCAACTGTATACTAAGACTCGGGCATAGATGACAGTATCCGAGGTGTTTTACTAGGTAGAAACCTCTATTTGTTAGGAGAGGTTTATTTTATTTAGACTTCTAGAGTTGCTGCAGTTTTTGAGGTTGACACAGAAGATGCTACAACACGATGCTGCAACACAGTGTGCGGGATCAGAGGTCTGAGCTCGGGATTTTATGCTGCAATATGAATTAGAGACCCATTGGGAATGTGATTACATGATAATAACTCCAGCTGTACATGCTAAGGAATCCCAACACTTTAGGCTACTTGTGGATCAAGATTAAGGAAGTTGAGTTCAAGCCAACTTCTACTAACCTATTCCTACTAGGATTGTGTTAAGAGAAGCCTATAAAATTGCAGCTGGTCCCTGGGAATTACTTGGAGCGATTAAGAGGGAAAACAAAGAATGTACGCTGATGTAGAGCATTCCCGTCACGTCCCGGAGCTTCCCTTGCGTGCAGAAGATTATGATCTACATATAGGAAGAGATATTCAACGCCAAAACACATCGTGACATCCAGGAGATGAACTAGAGCTTAAGGAGAGGGCTGCCAACACGTTTGTCCTCGTGAGCTCGGTGGAGATGTGATAGCCGAAGCAGATCTGTACAGGGTACGGGTTAGAAATCCTAGATTAGAAGTTTTGTCATAGCAATTCGGAGAAGTGTCTCATCATGTTGTTATGTACCGATGTAACTTGCATTTAGTGATTTAGTGGAGGGCTATTACACGGACGTGGGCCCCGCAGATTAGGAGAGTTTCTCCGAACTACGTAAACATATCTGGTGTCATTTTTACGCATTTTTATACTTACAGCATTCTGCCATGTAGGCATGGTAACGCCCTTTGCATCATCTGCTTCTGTGTGTGCGTGTGATAGAAGAAGTGCTATAGCACACTGTCTGTCATCTGTTACTGTGAGGCTGCAATATCTTCTCTGCAGCATAGATGGTTGATTTCTTTGCATAGTTCTTAATTGGTGATTTCCACTGCGCTCCCATGAACTTACACTTACTACTCGTTTTAGTGAAGTTATTGTTGATTTAGGCATTCCTGGTATAAATGATGACCATGAAAATGAAGGCACTAAAGACGGTAATACCAGTTTTGAAATCAATGAGAACCCCATAAAAAGACGATCTAGTGACTCATTGTCTGTGCAAGAAAAAAGGAGGAGCTTCTATGTTAACAAAAATAGACAAAATTAAGGAAGAATATGACAAGCATAGAGAGATCATTATGTCAAGATTTAGCTAGTTGCCTCCTACTATTCAGAAGCAGTTGATGTGCTAATATCCATGGAGAATGACATTACACCTTATAGCATTTTGTATCGATTTGCAACGAAGCTCCTATATATTGAACATAGACAAAGGTGAAAAGTTTATGGCCTCAAAAATATATGACTCTATACTATTTTTGAACGTTGTAGAAAGTGAAGCAACAACAAATGAAGCACAGACTTTTACTAGTTTATTAGGAAATAATCATTTTAATTTTTTTCGTAGGTTGTGTCTAAGGTTTTGCTTTCTATGTGAGAGAATTATAGTATGGTGACTTAATTTTTTATCAATAATCTAAATTACAGGGACATTTTGTTTATAACAAGATATTTCTTCTTTATAGTTATCTAAATCTTAAGTCTTTGAATAATGTTCCATTGATGAGTCATTTTTTTTATTTTTTTGGGTGAAATATTTATGGTCTGTTTTTTCGTTCCATTGAAATTATATTTAATATAGTCTTTTATATTTATGTACTTGATGGGTATGTATTAGCATTATTTTGAAACGCCTATAAAATGTTGTGAATGAATTAACTCATGAGATATTTCTTGTGAAATAATATTGCAGATCCATGATCAAACTATGACGAAAGATGGGGAAACGGAAGAATGCGAATTACAAGTCATTCTGAATGATGATATGAAATGAAAAATTCAGGAACCATATTGATGGAGTATGTTGAAGAGTATTATTGAAAATATATTCTCAAGAGACATTGCTCCACTTCAAATAAAAGTGGTGAGTCATGGGTTAAAGAATTTTTAGATGGTCATGAAAGAAGAGTTTATAATGCATTTAGTGTTAGAATAAGTGCCCATCACTAGGGGAGGGGGGGTGAATAGTGAGGCACGAGAATGTTTATAAATTTTTGCTGAATAAAAATCTTTGGGATAAAAGAGCAGAATAAAAAGGAGTAAAGGGAGCACACCAAGATTTATACTGGTTCACCACAACGTGTGGCTAGTCCAGTCTCCTGAGAGACTCCCTCGAGCTACACTACTTCCGTTAAGCTTATGGTTGCTTAACAAACCGTTACAACTTGAGAACTCGAGTCCTACAAGCCTCAATACACTTGCTTGGAGATACCGCACTCCAAGACTTCAACCCGAAGGAAAATACCTTTCTTTCGTACAACCAAGGGAAACAAGCTTCCCTAAACGTGTTTGCAACACTAAGAACACTCAAGAACAAGACTCTGTTTAAGAGTAGATGTTGAGTAAACTATATACACTCAAGAACAACTCAAACTTCACGGCAGTTTGGCATTATCAAAACCTGTCATAAAAACGAACACAGCTTTAGTACGAAAACGTGATAAACCCGTGTTTCAACAATTAGAATGGAAGAAAACATATTTCTAAGCTTACTTCATACTTTTAAAAATAAGTACAAAATGTGCCGTTCAATTAATATCTCAACAATGGAAGCATTTACAATATTCTTATACACTTTGGGACATGGAGGATCAAATAGAAAAATTCAAAAGCGCTTTCAAAAGGCCTGATGAAACAATTAGCATGCATACATTTTAATATCGTATTGGAAAGCATTATGAGCATGGCTTCTGATGTGATTCAATCATCTGATCGCCAATATGGCAAAACAAATATAAAAAGATTGCAAATGTATACCATATTTTAAGGTAAAAAGGCATATATATTGGTGCAATTGAGTAGGGGTGAGCACATTCCGGTAAACCGACCGAACCGTACCAAAACCGAAAATTTTGGTACGTACCAAAACCGAAAATTTTGGTACGTACCAAAACCGAACCAAATAATTTGATTCGGTATTTGGTTTTAGGTTTTTTTGGAATTCGGTTTTCGGTTCGGTAAAAATTTTTGGGTTGGTATTTCGGTAAAAACCGATTACAGAAATAATTTAAGAATATTGTATAATTCTACCCAACCCACTACCAATATCCAGCCCACTTCTAATTCATCCAATCGATCGCGCATCATTCTTCATCTTCTAATTGGTTTGTTGCATCCGATTTCCCTAATTTGCTTTTATTTGTGATTTTTTCAGTTTTTTGTCTATGTGTTCACAATTCATATACCAAACCAATATGTTCACAGTTTTTTTATTTATGATTTTTTCATTTTTTTTCGGTTTTTGGTAAAACCATTTACCAAACCGATTTATTTCGGTTTGGACTAAACCGATTAATTTAATTTCGGTTCAGTATTCGGTACAAAACATTAATAACCGAATTTTCGGTTTACCGAAATTTTGGTTCGATTCGGTATGATTTTACCTAATGAACAACCCTACAATTGAGCCTTCAAAAAAATATTGGTGCAGTTAATGGCAGACATCTTAAGTGAAACATATAAATATTTGATGCTTAATTCTTTTATTTATAATATTACATAAATGTATTGGTGTAATTGATGGCATACATATCCTAGCTTCTATTCCTATTTTAGATCCATTACCATACACCATACGAAAAAGAGTGCTGACACAAAAAGTGATGGTTGTATGCGACTTTAGTATGTGTTTTACTTTTGTACTAGCTAGTTGGGAAGAATCTGCTCATGATGCAAACATTTTTTATAAGGCTATAGGTCAAGAGAAATGGAAATTCCCACATCCACCACACCCAATACAAGAACATATATTTATTTATTTTAAAGTTACACGTAAACAATATTGATCAAAGTTTTACATATTAATGTTATATTAGTGTAAATGGTAACATATTATTTATAGCATTATTAGTTCATGTCTTACAAGAAAATATTATTTAGTTGATGCGAGATATCCTCAAATTCTTAGTTATTTGGGATCTTATGGAGGAGAGAGATATCATCTTTCATATTTTTGACAAGGAAGACCAGAATTAGGCAAAGAAGAGATATTCAATAAAGCTCACTCTTCTTTATGAAGTGTTATTGAAAGAGAATTTGAGGTTCTAAAAATAAATGGACTATGTTAAAAATCATGACAAATTATTGTAGAAAGAATATTTTCATTGATGATTTGTGGTGATTACATGTTTATATATGTACAAGGAGTCTCAATCCTAATTATGGTAGGAGAGACATAGTATGAAGGTAATACAATTATGGTAACAATATAATACAAGAATATTAAATATATAAATAATATATTTAACATGCTCCCGGCTACGTCGGATGTGGAAGCGGTCTGATGCCCAAGCTGTCTCTGAAGTCAAGGAACATAAGTGAAGGTAGTCCTTTGGTGAAGAACAGAAGTGAAGGTAGTCCTTTGGTGAAGATGTCGGCATACTGGGAGGAAGATGGAACATGCAGAACTCGAATGTGACCGAGCACCACTTTGTCACGAACGAAGTGTATGTCTACCTCAACATCTTTTGTGCGCTGGTGCTGGACGGGATTGGTTGAGAGATAGACGGCACTGACATTGTTGCAGAAGACAAGGGTGGCACGCTGAAGAGGTTGCTGCAGCTCAAGGAGTAGGTTGCGTACCCAAGTAGTTTCTGCTACATCATTTTCTACGGCCCTGTACTCAGCTTCTGCACTCGGTCGCGAAGTAGTTGCCTGTCGTTTGGATGACCAGGAGACAAGATTATCCCCCAAAAATACGCAGTAACCTGAAGTAGAACGCTTGGTGTCCGGGCAGCCAGCCCAATCTGCATCAGAGTAGGCGTGGAGAATATCTTTGGCAGATGGTGTCAAATGGATGCCATGAGTAGTAATGCCGCTCAGATATCGTAGAACACGCTTCATGGCAATAAGATGAGCGTCACGGGGTGCATGTAGATGGAGGCAGAGCTGCTGAACTGCATAGGTGATGTCGGGCCGAGTGAAGGTAAGATACTATAGAGCACCCACAATGGACGTGTAGATAGAGGGATCTGATAGCAGTGTGCCTGTGGAGGAGGACAATTTTGCCTTTGTGTCGACTAGAGTAGTGATAGGGCGACACGACAACATCCCAACACGCTCAAGTATATCATGTATGAATTGGGTCTGGTGTAGAAAGAGCCCTGTAGGAGTACGGTAAACATTAATGCCAAGGATGAAGTGTAAGTCCCCCATGTCGGTCATGGCAAATTCTGTCTTGAGCTGGTGGATGAGGCTATGAAGGAGTGATTATGAGGAGGCAGTGAGGAGGATGTCATCCACATAAAGGAGGAGGTAGGCTGTGCCCCTGGTGTGGGAGAAGATGAAGATGGATGTGTCGGCCTTAGAGGCGCGGAAACCTATGGTCTGAATGAATCCTGCAAATCTATGATACCATGAGCGTGGGGCTTGCTTGAACCCAGAGAGTGCCTTCTTGAGTTTGCATACATAGTGAGGTCTGGTGGCGTCCTGAAACCCAGAAGGCTGGCTGGCATAGACTGTCTCCTGAAGGTGGCCATGCAGGAACGCGTTTTTGACATCGAGCTGGTGAATGGGCCATCCCCGAGATAGGGCAAGGCTAAGGACGATTCGAACAGTAGCAGGCTTGATGACAGGACTGAAGGTCTCGTCGTAGTCGACACCAAAACACTGATTGAAGCTATGAACCACCCATCGGGCCTTATACTTAGATAACTCACCTATGGGGCCAAGTTTGTGTCTAAAAAACCATTTACCGGTTATGATATTCTGTGAGGGGGAGGGGAGGTACTAATTCCCATGTGTCATTCTTAATCAAAACATTAAGAATGAGATGGGGCCGGAGGTGTGGAGATTGAGGATTTGTTTAGGATGGAAGACCCCATGGGATGTTCGTTTGGACCGGGGGTAGGAGGTGGGCCGTG